ATCCAGCTCTACACCTTGTTATCTCTAACCAATGACTGTCCATTTTCATTAACTATCTCTCCATTGCTGACTTAGGCAATTGTCAAAGCTGCTGGATTTGCAGATTTAATAGGCACTTGCAGCCAGTTAGACGGTGAAGTGGAAGGTGTATTGACAAGATTCACATAACTTGACCTTCTAACTGACAGGTTGATAACAGGTGCACCTTAACATGTGGCTGCATCAAGCTGTGCATAGACCCTTAGTACATAAACACAAGTGTTGTTATGTATTGTAGTTCTACCTATCCCTGGAGTTATGAAGGATAGGTTTGGCTGGGTGCTGTGGAATGCTCCAAGTAGTTGGACCATTCTGTATCACCCGTCCCTCATGCAAAAGTTAGCAAAGAAAAACACCTTTGGCAACAAGTCCATCGGGAAGTGGTCAGCACGGAATGTCCTCAGCACCCTGCAGGTAAAAGACGGGCTGGATCCTGTCTGCATGGGTTCCTCCTGTAGTCCAAAGATGTGCAGGTCAGGTGGGTTGGCCATGCTAACTAGTGTCCAGGGTTGTACAGGCTAAGCAGATTAGCCATGGGAAATGCAGGGTTACAAGGTTAGGGTGGGGAGGGTGGGCCTGGGTTGGGGATGCTCTTCAGAGGGTCAGTGTGGACTCAATGGGCCAAATGGCCTGCTTCCACATGTAGGGATTCTATGATTCTATATCACAACAATATCACTGAAAGGTAAGATGATGCACCCACAGTAACTTGGAACATTGAGGGGCTCAATTCTCACTGCCTGGACAAGGGGTTGCACCGTTGACCTGAGTAAAATGGGGAAGACATTGGTACCACTGCACAATGCCCCAGAAAGGATCAGCGTTAACATTAATGTAACTCAGTTAAATTATATAATGTAAACGTTGAAATTGTGCCTGTGAATTAGTGCTGGGGTGCAGTTTGGGAGTGAAGGGGAGTGTGAACTCAGGAACAAGAAGGTGATCGAACAGAACAGGAACAGTTGCTGAACAGTTCATAATGGAGAGTTTCATGAGGGGACTTTTAAGGCTGAACCAACAGAAATGAAGAACTGTCATCTCTTGTGAGTTTTACTGATACTTGGGGCATCTTCTGGGGGCATTGCTGAGAAATCGAAAGGATTTATCTTGATCACATTTGCTATTTGATGTACGCTTTCCAGTGTTGGATTACAATCTGTCACTCACGTAAATCATATGCTAATTCTGCATTGTTAGAAGTGACTAGTACATGTACTGAGCAAGAACCAATACACTGCAGCTGCACATGCATGACTTTATAACAGTTCTAACTTGTAGTCTTGTTCAAACTTGAAATATTTCAGCTTTATTCTCCCAGTCTTTGAATCTCACCTTTGGCCTACTTTAAAAATAAGGGTTAGTGGTCCCCAACTGGATCCTGGCCTCAGTGTGGACTTGAACTCCCAGCAATCTCAGCCTCAAGGTGAAGCCTGGTATGGTCTGGGTTGGAAGAACTGTTGTTCTGAACTCTTATTTCTCTATTTTTTTCTAATTTATTACTGGGCATCTTATTTCTTACTTTTCTAATTATTTTCCCCTACAAATTTGTTCTTAAGAATCTGCACCTAGGTACCTTGGTACCTAAGATGGTGCCCTAACTGGTGACCTGTAAACTTTTCTCTGCACTCGTGTGAGTACATGTGACAATAAAGCTAATTCAATTCAACATAAATTGGTGATCTTATCTGGGACCATAACATAATTTGTAGTAATTTATTGAGCATTCAGCCAGCAAGTGAGTGAACTGGGGAACCCTCACCATATATCCCTGGTCCTACAGCCTCTGGTCTTCTGGAGACTGGGCAGTATCCTGTCACCCAGACGTGTACAGATTCTCACTTGGTGAGACATCTGGTATCGGGGTATGTTAACATCCTTCTCCCTGGTGGTCCAGGAAGTCTCAAACAATAACCCAGTGGCATCAATTACCACGACAACAATGAAGCGCAGGCAAGGTATAAACAATAGAGTTTTGTGACTTCACTGGGAAAGCAGCTGGTAATTCACTGACAACTGAGTCAAGCTTTCTGTAAAAGGACATTTGTTTTTGCCTGTATCACCACCATAGCAGGCATTTCAGCTGTCCATGTGAAGACTCTGATCCAGAGTGGGAGGGCTCCTGATGCTCTGGGGAGGGTGGGTTATGGTTGGCTAATGGTGCAGCATGGCACAAGTGGCAATGCAGCATTGGTAGAAATCCCAGCTCTGTGGGATTGAATTGGTATTTTCTTAAAGCATTTACAGTTCCAACTGTCATTCCAGTCATCTGCAAAGTGATGGAAGGTGTGGTTGACAGGCTTGTTTGGGATCTGTCAGGGCCACTCAGCTCCAGATCTCATTTCAGCCTTGGCTTAAACATAGACAAAAGAGCTGAATTCCAGACATGAGGTGAGAGTGACAGCCCTTGACACAATCATAGAATCTGTACAGTGTGGAATTAGGTCATTCAGCCCATCAATTCCATGCTGACCCTCTGAAGAGCATCCCAGCCAGACCCATTCCCCTACCCTTTCCCTGACACCCTGCATTTCCCATGGCTTATCCACATTGCTAGCACATCCTTGGATACTATGAGTAATTTAGCATTGCCAGTCCATCTAACCTGCACACCTTTGGATTGTGGGAGGAAACTGGAGCACCTGGAGGAAATCCATGTAGACATGGAAAGAAAAAAAACAAAGTTGCTGGAAAAGCTCAGCAGGATCTGTGAAGGAGAAAACAGAGTTAACGGTTCGGGTCTGGTGACCCTTCCTCAGAACAGAGGAGGACTTCTGAGGAAGGGTCACCGGACCCAAAACGTTAACTCTGTTTTCTCCTTCACAGATGCTGCCAGACCTGCTGAGCTTTTCCAGCAACTTTGTTTTTGTTCCTGATTTACAGCATCCGCAGTTCTTTCGGTTTTTATTTAGACATGGAGAGAGTCCACACTGACAACACTGGAATCGAACCTGGTTCCTGGTGCTGTGAGGCTGACCACTGAGTAACTGTGCTGCCTTCTAAAGACAGTATTGACAAAGAATGACATCAAGGAGTTTGAGCAAAACTGAAATCAATGGGAATCATGGGGAAAGGTCTCTGCTGGTTGGAGTCATACTTGATACATAGAAGATGGTTGTGATTGTTGGAGGTCAGTCATCTCATCTCCAGGACATCTCTGCAGGAGTTCCTCAGGGTAGGGTCCTAGGCCCAACCATTTTCAGCTGCATCATCAATGACCTTCTTTCTGTTCTTAGGTGAGAAGTGGGGATGTTCACTGAATGCACACTGCTCAGTACCATTCACGACTCCTCTGAAACTAAAGCCATCCATGGTTCAAATGTAACAAGATCTGGACAATATCCAGGCTTGGGCTGGCAAATGGGAAGTAACATTAGAATCAACAAATACCAGGCAATGACTTTTGCTAACATGAGAGAATCTAATCGTCACCCCTTGACATTTAATGACATCACTATTGCTGAATACCCTACTATCAACTTCCTGAGTGTCACCATTGAATT